ACACACACACACACACACACTTACTTAGCTAAATCGTGACATAATATATATATATACTGTAAAACTTAGTTAATTAGACAGGCTTTTTGATTAATAAAATTTAATTTAACCATTAAAACAGAGTATAGAAAAACGAAAATGAAAAAAAAAAAAAACTGAATTTGGAAATAAAACGGATTTCATAGGCCCCTACAATTATAATAAATTTTTTTGTGGTAATCTAATGTACATTACACATTACAACAAAGGCCTGCAGAGGGCGCCAAAGGCCTGATGATTATTTTTACACATTACTTGTGCGATCTAATACTTGTTTAATATTGACCAAGCACAATTTAATTCAGATGACCACTTAATCTTTAATATTTGGCCATTTCTTTAGGACAGAAATGCTATAGCCGCTGTAATTAAACGAATATGTGGACATCAAAAGGTGTAAACTCAGATTGAGGGTTTCAGCTTTTATTTTGAAACCGCGATGAGCGTTTGTGAATTCACAATTATGCTTAATTATGATTTTTAAATGGGTTTAATATACTATGCAGCCTTGGGAAACAGTCTTATAATGTGTTTTATGGATTCTCGTCCGTGAAATGCGCCACTTCCGGTATTTTGCCGGTTAGTCGACGCGAGCAAAAAAGTCGAGGATTTAAAAAAATCGAATAGTCAAATAAAATCGACGAATCGCGACAGCCCTACCCTCTTATACAAGTAAGGTATTCCAGTGGTAATAGCTCCATTAACACTTTGCCAGCCCTTCACAGAGGGGGCTTTATCAGAGGTCCACTGCAAAAGAATGTTTTTCCGTGCTGAAAATGTCATGACATTAAAGAGCCTTCTGTTAGCCAGAGAAGTTACCTTACTATCAGGCAATCCTAGTAACAATGACAAAGGGTTTAAATCTAGATCTAAACTCAAAATCTTTTGCATTTCTCTAAGTATTTTACACCAGTAATCCTGTATCAAACGGCATGACCATAAACAGTGGGTCAGAGTACCAATTTCGGTCTTACATTTAAGACAAAATGGGGAAAAGGAACTGTTAAAAGTATGTCTGCGATTAGGAGATACATGTAGCCTGTGCAGTATCTTCAGCTGAATTGCTCTTGCACGGTTACAGACTGATATTTTTTAGCACCCTCCCAGACTGCCTCCCAAACATCCTCATCAATCGGAATTGATAGTTCCTTTTCCCACTTCTTCCTAATATTCTGTGAGTCAGTGCCATTCATAAAGCATAAAGTGTTATAGAAAAGGCTAATCGATGTTCTCCCAGTTGTTTGAAAAAGCAGTCTTTCAACTGGAGCTATTTCAAAGTTGTCTTTCAAAGTTGTACTTACTTAGGCATTGGATGAAATGCCTAATTTGTAAAAATCTGAACAATTCTGATTTTGATAACTCATTTATCCATTATTTGTTGAAATGACATTAAATTATTATCAATAAACAAATCTTGTAGCTTAACAATGCCCTTTTCACACCAGAGCTTAAAGCCAGCATCCATCATTCCTGGTTGGAAATCTGGATTATATCAAATTGGAGAAAATACAGAGGTAAATTTAGACCTACCCTCCAGGCGTCTAACTAGCCGCCATGCTCTAAGTGTATTAAGCGTAACAGGATTAACACAACTTTCTTTAATGATTTTAAAACTTAAAAAACAATAGGTCTGGTAATGAATATTTGGATAAACTTGTTTCAATATCGAACCATACTGAGGAGACATCTTTTGTTATCCACTTAGAAATATTTCTCAAATGAGCACCTAACTGATATGTTCTAATATTGGGTAGATCTAAACCCCCTTTAAATCCTGGCAGTTGTAAAACTGACATCTTAAGCCTTGGTCGTCTTTTGCTCCATATGAAAGAGCTTAACCATCCATTCAAATCTTTTAAAACCCTTTTAGAGAACACAGCTGGGATCATATGAATAGGATAAAGCAACCTAGGAAGAACATTCATCTTAACTAGTGATATCCTACCCAGCCATGAAACTGGAAGGGAGTTTCAATGATCAAGATCCTGTTTTATTTTCTCAAACAAGGGCATGAAATTCATTATGCATCTGATTAAAGTTAGGAGTCACAAAGATTCCCAGGTATCTAAATCCTGCAGGGGACCATTTAAAGGGAAACAGAGATATAGTACTTGGCATATCAATTAAGCAACCAAGAGGCATGGCTTCAGACTTAGGTTAATTTTGTATCCAGAAAACAAACTAAATAGAGTAATAATATTAATGAGAGGAGGTACTGATAACTCAAGTGAAGATAAAAATAACAAAACGTCATCCGCAGGCTTATTTTATGCTGTGTAGTACCTATAGCCAAACCTTGAATGGATGTAGATGATCTAATAGCCTCTGCCAGTGGCTCTAGTGCCATCGCAAAGAGGAGGGGTGACAGGGGGCAACCCTGCCTAGTCCCCCTATATGTAATAAAACTGTCCGATCGAAAGCCCATTGGTAACGACCGCAGCCCGTGGATGATCATACAATATTCTGATCCATTTTACAAAATTGTCTCCTAGTCCAAACCTTATCAGTACTGAAAATAAATAAGGCCATTCTATGCGGTCAAAGGCCTTTTCGGCGTCTAATGAAAGAACCAAGCCATCCACCCCTCTTTGCTTAAACACCTGAATTATGTTTAAAAGACGCCTAACATTATCACATGAATTTTGTCCTTTTATGAAACCAGTTTGATCTGCTTTAATAATTAATGGTAGTATGCCTTCTAAACGAACAGCCAAAATTTTGGCCAGTACTTTGCGATCGACATTCAGCAAGGCTATAGGTCTGTATGAGGAGCAGGATTCTGGAGGTTTACCCTTTTTAAGGATAACTGTCTGTCATTAATGTTAATCAAACAACAAAAGACAGAGAAAATCCCTCACTGCTCTTGACTGAATCACTTTATAACTTTAATAAGAATCAATGTAAAATTCATGCAGTGTTTTAAATTTTAACAGATTTTAATGACCATTTTGACAACTGATTGTTTAATGCAATACTGTGTTTTTTAAACTGTGCAAATAGGTAAGTCATAGGCTTGTTCCACTCTGGATATTCTCCATAGTACATCTCAAAATTGGGAAGATCACGATTCAGATGTTTTTGGAAGATCGCCCACCCCTATATACTATTATAGTATTTATTAATAATTTGAATTAGAATTTACACACACACACACACACACACATTTGAGGGAGTTTGCATCCTCTTCTAATATGGACTGCTGTGGGTGTGTGTGTGTGTGTGTGTGTGTGTGTGTATGTATATATATATATATATATATATATACACATACATACACACATGGCATGTAATATTAGAACATAATGTTGCTTATGTTGAATATTGAATTAGCTTTTATTTTCATAATTTCAGTTTTCATTTAAATTTCTGTTTAAGTTTTAGTAATTTTATGTGCTTTTGTCATTATCATTAGTTTTTTTCCTTTATTTATTGTTATTTAACTTCAGTTTTAGTCATTTTAGTAGTTCAACTTTTATTTCAAGTATTTGCCAAGGCAAAATTTCTCTTTTTTCATCTTCAGGTTTTTCATCTAATATTTTTTTTAGCTGTATTTCAATTGACAAAGTTTTTTTTAATAGTTTTAGATAAAAATAACAAAACTGTCTTTTATTTATTTACTTTTTAAATGATGCACATTTTTGCAGACTCTGAGGGTGTAGTAAACTTACGCACTCAGCTGCTGCATAGATCTATTAGAGCAAGTTTATTTTCCTGCATGAGTCAGGCGCTCCATTCACTCCGGCTCTGAGCATCAGATTACTCAGCAGCCCCCATTAGTAGCCACAAATGAATGAAAGGCCAATTTAGAGTTCAATCAGTCTGATTCAAGAATGAACAGTTCAAACAATAAATTCAATAACCTGTTCAACCGGTTCACTGAAAAGAACCAGTTCAGAAGGATGATTCATTTACATGTAAGAGGACTGCATGATTTATGCCACTGTGTATGCTGGGCAACCAACATTTGATGTGGGATTAACAAGAAGAAGTAAAATGATACTTAGTTCAATGTCAAAAAGGTCACATGCTACCATCATGTACCGTTTGTGCTGAGGTTTGCTCCGTTCATGTACGCCTCCATGCGAACATCTGAGAAGGTGACGTTGACCTCGGTGCTCAGACTGACGGACATGGAGCTCAGACACCTGTAAGTGCTGTTCAGCCTCGCCGAGATATCCGACGCGTTCGTCATCACCGACACAATTCCTGCGAGAGAAACACCTGTGAGCAGACACTCATCCAAAACAACGATGAGACAACACTGAAATCATTAAACAATGTGACTATATCAACATGCAAAATTGTTGACAAAAAATGACTTAAGATGTATTTAAAAAAAATAAATCTCTTTACATTTTCTTCAACAAAAAGGAAAACAAGGAAAATAAATATTTGACTGTTTTTATTAAACCTCCATGAGTTTTCATGCTTGGGGTTGCAAGATGTCAAAAGTTTAAATCCCCCTATCAGAGCTTCCCTCTTAAAAGGATACATTTTCTGGCCAGAGTTTGACTTACTCTTCCTAACCTAGCAACCATGGAATTATTGGAATCAATTATCAGGAATTTCACTGCTTGAGCTTTCGAGTTTTACTGTTTTTTATTATGTATAGTCTGTTATTTATATAATAATTTAAGTCAGGAAACTAGTGTAAATAAATATAATATCTCGAATGGTGACAATCATAATCAGTAATCACAATTACAAAATTATTTGATTATCAGTTTAACAGTTTTGAAGTTTAAAACTAGAACATTCCTAGACTATTTATATTTGAGGTCATCTGATGTGGATTTTACCGATGCGATAACTAGGTTGGACCACACTGGCCGATAACCGATTAATCAACCGATAGTTTTTAAAATGGATCCTGAATGAACACTCAAATAGTGCTGAACTTTATTACAAAATATAAATAAATAAAAAAGGAATAAATGTAATAAAATATTAAATATTATTTATACACTGATCATTAATGGTAGTTCATAGTTCATTCACTAATGTTAACAGATGCAAATTAACATTACTAAATGTTGAAATTAACACACTGTAACGAGGAACAATACTTCTACGGCTTTTATTAACCTTAGTTAATGTTACAAATGGAATCTTATTGTAAAGTGTTACCATTTCATGCCAGGCATTGACATCCTGGCAATGTTTAAATATCTACAATTGAAATCACATACGTATGTATATATTGTATGTATACTCTCACTGATTTTTTTTTTGTGCTTATATTTTAGAACACTTGATGATTATCTAATTAAAAATAAAATATGCCAGTCACACACTGGACAAAATGCACAGTGTTGCATCTAGGACAACACCCTATATATTAGCATCAAAAAAATCAAATGTAAGATTTTCATTTTGGCCCTAGCATAAAGTCACTCCACTCAAGTCAGACAGCAAATGTGCAAAAAAAAAAGAAAAGAATAATGTCTACCAGGTCCACATGTGATGCAAAATATAATTACAGGGTCACAAATAAGCATATTTGTTTTAACAAAAACTTTTTATAAATTTTTTTCCTTTCCTTTTCTTTACTTACTTAAGTAATGACGTGACGTGTAGGCCAAGTATGGTAACCCATACTTAGAATTTGTGCTCTGCATTTAACCCATCCAAGTGCCCACACACAGCAGAGTAGTGAACACACACACACACTCAGAGCAGTAGGTGAAGGCGGAAGTGAGCTCTGTTCATTCACTCTGATATGGCATGAAATAGACATAGGGTCGAAACATTTCAAAAATTTTATAAATTAAATAAATATATTTATATAGAGTGTGTCAAAAAATGTGTGAATGTTTGTGTGTGTGTGTAAGAGTCATGTGTATTGTGTGTGTGTGTGTGTCGTGCGTGTCTGCATGTGTGTGTATGTGTGTGTGGTACCGTTCCATTGGCGGCGTTGTAGGAGATGCTGAAGGAGGCGCTGAGTTCTGCTTTAATGCAGGTGGAGTTTCCATCAGTCACCTCAAACGTCACAGCATGAGCCGCAAACACACACCCTGAAACACAACCATCATTATCATCATTATCGTCATCACTGGATGTGAATAAGTCGTGACCCTCAGTGTCCACTAGAGAGCACTGTCACACTGCACACACACACAACAGCACTGTGGCAGCAGTGGAGTCATTCAGGTTTCTGGGCTCCTACCATCTCTCAGGACCTAAAGTAGGACACTCACATTGAAAAAAGCCCAGCAGAGGCTGTACTTCCTTTGTCAACTGAAGAAGTTCAATTTGCCACAGGCGCAGATGACCGTTTTACTCGCCGTTATTAAGTCGGTTCTGTGCACTTCTATAGCTGTCTGGTTTGGGTCAGCCAGCAAATCAGATATAAAAAGACTGCAACAGACTGTTAGAACAGCTGAGAGGATATCTGGTGTTCACCTGCCCAACCTTCAGGACTTGTACATCTCCAGAATGAACAGGTAAGTAACATCATCACAGATCCCTCTCAACCAGACCACAGCCTTTTTGCACTTCTACCCTCAAGCAGATCTTATGATCTCTGTGCACTAGAACATCTAGGCATAGCAAGTTTTTCCCCAGGACATCTCCACCCTAAAAAGCTAGCACACCAATTACTACCTGTTTTTATAACCCTGTAATCCAGTACTCTTGTAGTGTTTATGTCACCTGAGAGTTAGGCAAATAATAGATATTTATATGTCAATACTTATTTTTATTCATACAGTTGTATATACAGTACATTATACACACATCTGTACATAAACCTTCTGATCTATATGTATATTGCTTTTCTTTTCTTTTTTCTTTTTCTTAATCTTATTTAAATGTTCTTTCTATTCTCTAGTGTTATATATGAAAGTATGTATGTAACCAGAGCTCCTGGAAACCACAACAAATTCCTTGTGTGGTTGTGCACACTTGGCGAATAGAGCTCATTCTGATTCTAAACCAGATCTGACATTAAACAAACATTCACAGGGATCTTTGATCCAACCAATCACATCAGTGTCATACTTCTCAGTGTCATACATTTTTACATTTCCAAAACAATATTAAGCTGCATTACGCAAACCTATTAGCACATGATTTCCTGCTTTAAAAAAAAGGAACATTCCATAAAATTGATACACAGAAAGTGACATAATTTGAACATGACTGATAGGGAAAACAGGTAATCTCACAATCTCATTCTATTTCACAATTTCTACACTGATCAATGTGTATTTAACACTGTTATTGTAAGAAAAATCCCATTCATTCTTGAATGAATCAGCTGTTTGAATGAATCAGTTGAATTAATGACTCAATGACTCACTCATTAAGACAGTGACTTGCTGCCACCTACTGGAAGTTTGGTTTCATATTTAAAAGTATCAATGTATTTTGTTGATACTGATTTAATTTGAATAGTAACAACCCTACAGTGTAGGGCCCTATCCGCCCTACTCACAGTAACCCCAGATGTGCGGTTTTGTTACTGAAGCGTGCATGACGCTTGCATTGTTTTCAGCCCCTGCCGCCTCAATATAGGGAGTACATGAACACATGAACATAATCTCTAAAACTACTCTGAGAGTCAATTTATGAGAATTTTACCGTTTCTTTCGAGAAAAACTATCATCATATCATATACAAACAGAAACTTAAAGGTCTTCACAGCAACCTGTCAAAATAGTTAAATCAAGTTAAAAAGTCCACAAGTGATCTAAAAAAGTCAAAAGTGATCCACAAGTCAAAAAAGTTTGGTTTAACTTGAAGAAACTGTGACAGAAATATATTACTGAATGTAATGACAGTACTACTACTAATAATAATAATATTATAAAAACATTAAGGAATATTTACCAGAATTTATTTACCAGAAAATTTTACATATTTGTACAGAAATATGATAATTCTTTTTTTTATAAATTCAATTAATTAGAGATGCTTTTGAGGCTTTAGAGTGGTTACAATCATCCGGGTTTAAATGGCGCTCAAATTGATTTGATTTTGACGCAATATTTACATTGAAGCTGCAGGTGGCTATGGTAAGGGGCATGACATTTCCCAACTAGGCGCAGAGTGCTGCCAATCACAAAACACACTGGCCCAGCTAACCAATCACAGCACATTTCGTATTTCAGAAGGCGGGCCTTCATTTGATACAGGAACTATTCGAGCCATTCATGCCAGACTGAGGAGAGAGGTGTAATAATGTAAAATATGTGAAAAATAATGTGTTTTTCGAACAACCTAGTATGAGAGCCTGTTCTAGTACACCCCCAAAACAAAATCAAGACTTTGTAATAGAGCATAATAGGACCCCTTTAAAATGTATGAAACCATTAAAATGGAATCCAGAAAATTTATGGAAAACATAATTTGGAAAAAATAAAACTGAATTTGAGAAAAAAAAAAAACATTTCATAGGGCATTAAAAATAAATTTTTTTGTTAAACTTTTAATAAATTGCTGTTAAATTGTGTAAGTTTCATGACTATTACTCAATTAATTAGACATGGTTTTTGATGAATACAATTTCAATTAACCATTAAAACTTATTAAATTTAAAATTAAATTTAAATGGAAAAAAAAAACTGAATCAATAAAACTAAAACTGCATTTAGGACCCTACCTATAGTGCCTTATTATTTTAACTGAATTTATTGATAAAATTTAAGAATTTGACGTGAAAAATAACATGCATTTAATAAGATTAAGAAAATAATTGCTTTATAAAGGTAAAAATTGTCCTAGAATGAAGAGGGAAAATGTCACAAATATGCAAATTAAAGTAAGACCTGATAGAACACTTAGTAGAAGTAACCTTTTGACTCGAACAAGTGCATGACCGATTTATTAGTCCGAAGGACAAGCACATGTCAAGGCTTAATGTCAAGCCCTGTATATATATATATTATTTCTCACTTCTGGGTGATGTTTTTGCTGTAAACCGCCGTTGAAGCGGTGTAAATTCCCGTGCAACTGCAAAGCGTCTTGTGAAATCCCAGCATGACTGAAGGAGTTTGTGAAATCATTAAGTGTCTGACCACACACACTCTTTCTCTCTCTCTGTCACACACACACCACATGTTGGGTTTCCATGTTTTATGGGGACATTGAATAGGCATAATGGTTTTTATACTGTACAAACTGTAGTTTCTATCCCACTACTCTAACCCTACCCATCACACAAAGCTTTCTACATTTGTAAATTTTCAAAAAAAGATAATTCTGTATGATTTAGAAGCTTGTTTTCTCATGGGAACCAAAATATGTCCCCACAAGGTAAACATTTACTGGTATTACTATACTTATGGGAACATTTGGTCCCCAGAACGAAGTGCATATCAGGACTAGGGTTGGGTATAGTTAGAAATTTTCCGGTTCCAGTTTTGCCTAA